GAGTGCGGCGTCAAACAACAAACAAACAAACAAAACTAGATACACTCACAAACCTTCGAAACAAGGGGTGGGGTGCAATGAGGTACCCTCGCGTTCAAGAATATCTACTTATGTAGCGGCGTACATGCACGCGTGTGTGGCTGTTTGTACTATATGGACAATATTGTCACGTCATCACGTGACTATATGGATAATATTGTCACGTCATCACTGAGTCGGAGTCGAACAATCATAGAAAACAGTAGCAATGACGTTATATGAATTGCATGGGCGGATACAGCTTTTTTGAAAAGGAGGGGGGTGTGTGCAGAATTAAGATCTATTTATTGTCTTTGGTGGAAATTTTTACAGAAATTAAGATTTTTTTTCGAAATAAAAAAGGGGAGCCCCCCCCCCCCCCCCCCCCCCCCCCTGTATCCGCCAATGAATTGCGTCATAAGTTTCACATTTCAGAAAATATCATTCACTCACGCTCTACCATGTTGTTAAATTGCGGTTGACATAAATTCACATAAAAAAACATACGAAACCAGATATACCACCAAAAAATATCTTCTTAAAAAAACCGTGCTCCACCACAGCTGATATATCATTAAACTGATATATCATTAAATGTAATAAATAATTTCAAATTCTCAGTTCAATACTTTGTCTTTTAATGCGGTCATATTACACATCTTATCAGAATTGACTTGGCGTAGAAAAAGATAATTCCGTGTAGTCCCGGAAATAAAAACAGGACTACAAATGCAGTACATGCTCTTAACCTGTGTAGTTTATGTAAATCCAAACCCCTAAGCTGCCCCTGTTGAGGGTATAAAGGGAGATAACTGCAGTGGGTGAAAATACATTCGCGAATCTCACATGGTCAGAAACATCTAGAATCAAGATCAGCTCGTCCTCAGTGTCGATCGTTTGGGGGTTAAGACAAACATTTCATTTTTGTGTGAAATTTTTAATAGGACGTGATACAACACATTTGAGAACATGGAAACCGATAAGGCCCAAGAAGAACAGAAACCATCAGAAAGTGCAGTAGATATTTCTCTCGAATCGGACGGTGGAATTTTGAAAGAAATTTTACGAGATGGCGAAGGCCACACAAGTCCATCTCCTGGAGACACCGTGTTTGTTCATTATGTCGGGACACTTACAAATGGGGAACAGTTTGATTCTAGCAGAGATAGGGGCGAGAAGTTTGAATTTCAGCTGGGAAGAGGTAGGTAACGAGCACAAACGAACTGGCCGGAATAGCGAAACTAAAACTATGCGATAACTGACATTATCTCAGACCATCTATAATCTTCATGTCGGTGTTATTTAGTTATTTCACTGTTGGTGGAATTTTATCGATGCGAGATGATTATTTTCATTTATTGTGTTAAAAATAATTGTTTTGTGAAGCGGTCTTTGTGAAAAATTGAGAAGGATTCAGGGGAGATAATCAAATGTTTTACTACTATTTGAATAATTATCTCCCTTCGACCTGATATTCTAGATTTGACTTAAAATCATCTTGTAGTAGTGACTAGAAACAGTGTGTATGATGCATGATTGTTGTAGACTCGGATATTGACGGGCTTAGAACTTCCTTTGTAATGATACATACTGATTGTGGTTGGTTTCACTAAATAGTAGAGACCTGTGAAGATCCGGGGTAGAATAGGTCTTCAGCAACCCATGCTTGCCGTCAAAGGCGACTATGCTTGTCGTAAGAGGCTAATAACTGGATCAGGTGGTCAGGCTCGCTGACTTGGTTGATGCATGGCATCGTTTTCCAATTGCGTGGGTCAATTTGTATTGTGACCAAGAAGAAATTAAGAATGAAAACAATTTAAGAATTTTAGTTTGCCTTTGACTCTCAAATTAAGTGACTGACAATTTCCAAATTGAGCCTTTTTTCAAAGATAAGACGCCAATTAATTTGTGTTCTTGTGAATACAATACACACATGATACAGACACCATCAAGTTGTATTTATTTTGGTATGTTTTTAATGGAGGCCATCATGAATTCTACCATGTCTACTATTTTCAATAAGATATCGTAATGATTCATCACCAGTTTGTTTTAAATTTCTGTAGTTGCGATATGGCTGAAATAATGCCGATACGACTTTAAATTTTAACACACTCACTTAATTTTCTTTATAAGACTTTAGTTAGACATTACAGAAACAAAGTAAATTGGTCTTTGAGTTGAAAACTGTTGTTGAGCTTCAACACTTGACTCTTCTTCACACACTTGCTTGATGATAACATTTGAATCCGAAGCCATTGGTCGAAAGCTTGAGGTAGTTCGTTTTAACAATTGCAACTCTAAAGTTTGAAACTTGGCATTATGGCATAGAATGTCACCTGTATCCATAGCCATTTTGGACCCAGGAAGATTCCGGGGTAGAATAGGTCTTCTGCAACCCATGCTTGCCATAAAAGGTGACTATGCTTGTCGTAAGAGGCGACTAACAGGATCCGGTGGTCAGACTCGCTGACTTGGTTGATGCATGTCATCGATCCCAAATGCGTGGATCGATGCTCATGATATCAATCACTGTATTGTCTGGTCCAGACTCGATTATCTACAGATTGCCGTCATATAGTTGGAATATTGCTGAGTGCGGTGTTAAACAACAAACCAACCACAGCCATTTTGGATGATTACCGGGTATCAGCATGTCCGTCATTTTCTTTGTTTGAATTTTGATTGAATTACTGTCCTATTTCAGGTAAGGTGATCAAGGCATGGGATCAGGGCGTGGCAACGATGAAGCGTGGGGAGCTGGCCAAGCTGTGGTGTAAACCGGAGTATGCCTATGGCGAGGCAGGTGCCCCGCCCAAGATCCCCCCTAATGCTACACTTGTATTTGAAGTAGAATTATTTGACTGGAAAGGTAAATACATCAACATGACGAAAGGGAGGTTTGCAAAAATAGCAGGCCAGATTTTACGTCTTGTTTTCAGATTTTTTAGTGAAAATTCAAGATCAATAGGCATATAAAAAGTGATTTCAGATTTCTTTTTTAGTTCTTCAAAAGGTTATGTGAATATATTGCCTTGTGCACAGTGTTAGTTACCAAAGGCTTGTCGAATATATATATAATATGTTCAAGGCTGATCCATGACTTTTCTGCCAATTTGAATCTTAACCATGGTGTTCTTCATAAATGTAGATGCTTCTGTGAAGTGAATTATTTAGTATTGATATTCATAAGTTTGTATAGGTATTCGTAAATTTGAAACGATAAAAGTTAAAGATATTGCAATGTACAATGCGTAAATGACATCCAGACTATTTTTGTGTGATGAAAACGTAAGTTTGCATTCGACAAATAAAAAACAAAATTCAACGATTTTCCCTTTTGTATTGCAATTGTGCACAAAATCTGTCCACCAATTAAAAAAAGTCTCCCCAAAGGATCATAAAAAAACTATAAATGGTTCGATACCAGCTTTCCTGTCGATATTATTCGATGGCTTTTGAAGATATTAATCAAGATGCTTCTTTAGAAAAATGATTATTTATGTTACGTTTGCAGGTGATGATATAACGGAAAGTAAAGATGGTGGCATCATTAAGCATGAAATAAAGAAAGGCGAGGGGTTCAACACTCCAAATGATGGTGCTATGGTAAATAGTAAGTGGAAACTTGATCAGAATTTTTAGATTAACTGGATTATGTGTATTCGTACAGTGATGACATCAAATCATTCCTCATAGTACTTGGGTGGCAGTGGTGTAGCCTTTTGATTAAAGCGTTCACTTGTCACGCCCAAAACCTGGGTTCGTTTCCCACATGAGTACAATGTATGAAGCCCATTTCTAATGCCCCCCGCCGTGATATTTGCAGGAATATTGCTAAAAGCGGCGTAAAACCTCACTCACTCACTCATTCACTCATAGTACATGTGGGCATGAGTTGCCCAGTCATCTAAGGTGCCCCAATTTACTGTCCAGAGTTGCTTCCCTTAGGAATGCCAGGAACCTATGATTGTAGGTCCTCATCCTAGATTCACCCTGATGTTTCTTGGTTTATCAAGGGTACAATGTGTGAAGCCCATTTGTGGTGTCCCACGCCATGATATTTGTGGAATATTGCTTTAAGAGGCAAAAAAATCATACTCACTCACTCATTCTTGGTTTATCAGCACAATATATCTGTTCTCTTGGGTTTCATAAAAGTGGTAAACATCTAAACCCTGCATCACTTCAGGCTTTCCTCCAACATTAAACTGACTCACTGATGATACCCATCATTGGTTTGCCTTTGTCAGATTGGTATATTTATAGGCTACCTTGACGATTGCTGACTGCTATTTACTCAAGCAATAATCGTTGTTTACAACTGTCCTGTGAAGATCCGGCCGAGAATAGGTCTTCAGCAACCCATGCTTGTTGTAAGAGGTCACTATGCTTGTCGTAAAAGGCAACTAACGGGATCGGGTGGTCAGGCTCGCTGACTTGGTTGATGCAATTCATCGTATCCCAATTGCATGGATCGATGCTCATGAAATCAATCACTGGATTGTCTGGCCCAGACTTGATTATTTACAGACTGCCGTCACATAGCTTGAATATTGCTGAGTGCAGCATTAAACAACAAACCTACAAACAAACAATGTTAACTTCTAAGTTAACACAACAACCTAATTGATAATTGAAAGCATTAAGCAAGCAACTTATAAGTTTGTGTGTGGATTTCTTGCAGTTCATTATAGTGGTCGATACGAAGGTAAAGTTTTTGAAGATCGCGATGTAGAGTTCGAAGTTGGAGAGGGGGCAGACAAGGGCGTTGTAGAAGGCCTCGAGATAATTGCCAAAAACTTAAAAAGTGGTGAGAGAGCGAGGTTCGATGTTTCCTCCAAATATGCCTATGGAGCTGCCGGGAATACGGACTTCAATATTCCCCCTGGAGCCGCCGTGGAGTATGAAGTTGAGATGAAGTCCTTTGAAAAGGTAGGATTTGAGATGTGTAGTTCTTAGGTGACTTGTGTTTCACTGCTATCAGGAGCAATAAAGAGGAATTATTATTGCTTTCAATACAACGTAAAGATACCTCAGATATTAGAAATTAAAAAACAACATTTTGTCCCAGTATACATGTCACATAGTTTTGAATCCTAGATAACCCTGGTCAGTGTGAGAACAATACGAAGCCAAACTGTTTCATAACGCAAAATTTCCGCCATCATTAGGTTTTTAGAAAATTGGTTTGTCCCGTTCAAATGTTTCCATGTCCTACAAAACCACATATTGATACCATGGAAATATGAGTACTTAGAGTTACCTACCCTTGCAACATTTGGTACAAGCTCCTTCCCAGCACTCGACACCTTCGTTACACTCTCGGTAACATCGCTGCCGTCAGTGTGGGCGCAGCCATTACAAGAATCTTGAAATTTGCCCTCTAACCCCAAATATAGTTAGGTTTATACTTTTGTTCATGTCTTTGGGAATACCATCAGTGAATTTTGAAAAGGTTTACGACTGACCAGATTTCCCAGATAAATTTACCTTTTTGTTTGTTTAATCAGATTGGTTTGAGATTACAGACTAACGGAAAATCAGCTGGTCGGATTGTCTGGTTCAGGCTTGATTATTTACAGCTGGAATATTGCTGAGTGCGGCTTTAAACAACAAACAAACAAAACATGATAGTTGAAATGAAATATAAATTCAAATTGACAAACAAAGAAAACAATTTCGCTGGGGTAAGAGTATTCAGGATCGCGGCAGGCATCGCGGCTGTCATCACTTGTTGGTAAACATAACAGTCAGTTGGTTGCGAGTCTAACTCCACATATGGTTGTAGCCACCTATCACAGTGGGGAGCTTTGACTGGTTGCCGCTATAGTATAGAGAGCTCTGTGAATGGCCTGTTGCTGTGTGGAGCTTGTATTTGGTAAGCTCAGCAGATATTGGTAGGTTTGTGTTGTTGACCAGTTGTCGCTCTGTTCCAGGTGAAGGAAGGCTGGGAGATGGACACAAAGGAGAAGCTGGAACAGTCGGAGATCGCCAAATCTAAAGGAACAACGTTTTTTAAGGTACCAAAGTTGCAAACATGGAATTAGGCACGGTTTGCCAGTTAAATCTGTAGGTATTGAGATGTTGTGAGTGTTTGGCCTTACTGCATGAGGGTGCCATATAGGACTGAGTAGCAAGGGTTCTTCATACTAGGAGAGGGGGTCATCTCACCTGGAGTAGGGGGTGGGGGGGTGTGTGTGTTTAGTCATACCTACACAGGAGAGAGGGTCATCATACCTGGAGAGAGGGGGGGGGGTCACAATACGGGGGGGGGCTCATCCATAATCCATGTGATCTCCATAACATTGTGATGATGCTCACAAGAACCAGGCAGAACGTTCCTTTAAAATAATTTGAAACTGGCAAACATTGCCGTCAGTGTTCAAGTATATCTTACAATTTTGATTTCCCAAATGGAACCAAGTCCTGGTGTCCCCATGTGTGACGAGGCTGGAGTATTGCTCAAGGTGGAGTAAAAACCACCTCACTCCGTGTGTCTCTGTTGCAATTGAGGGCAGTTGGGTAGCCATGCGGGTAAGGTGTACACTCATCACATCATCTTTTCTATTCCTATTTAAGAAGGGGCGGTCTGGTAGCCTAGTGGTTAAAGCATTAGCTCGTAACGCCGAAGACCTGGTTTTGATTCCTGACATGGGTACAATGTGTGAAGCCCATTTCTGGTGTCCCCCGCTGGGATATTGCTGGAATATTGCTAAAATCGGCGTAAAACCATACTCACTCACTCTATTTAAGAAAGCTGTGTCTGCGCTTTCCCTGCTGGGTACACTGTGTGGAGCCCATTTCTGGTGTCACCTGTGTGACAATGAGGACTATTACTCACTCCATGTCTCTGGCTTTGTAATTTCAGGCTGAGAATTATAAGAAGGCGATACAGCACTACCAGAAGATTGTGTCGTACCTGGAGTTTGAGACGAGCCTGGAAGAGGAGGATCAGAAGAAGCGAGATGCGTTGATGTTGGCGGCGCACCTCAACTCCGCCATGTGCCACCTCAAGACCGGGGACAGTCTCAAGGCCGTGGAGCAGTGTGATAAGGCTCTCGAGTTTGATAAAAATAGTGCCAAGGCTTTATTCAGGAGGGGACAGGTGAAATATTATAATACAGTCTCTATAGTGTTACAAAGATGTCCTGGTACCTGTAATTGTCTTTATTATCTTGTTGGGGTGTCATCTATACATCTCAAAATTTTAGTTGACAGTTATAAGTATATGGTTATATATGAGAGATTCGATTATCTTAGCGCAGTGATAGTGATAAGTTTATTATAAAGTATGAGATTTACAATCCTCTCAGTGCTATATGACAGTCAGTATGGGAGTTACCATCCTCTTAGTGCTATATGACAGTCAGTATGGGAGTTACGATGCTCTTAGTGCTATATGACAGTCAGTATGAGATTTATGGCTAAGGCAGTGCATGGATACTCCCAATGTAATCCATTGACTCAGGACTAATCCCGACTGTCTCGCAGATAATTTTAAGTCTACTTACATATTCAGTTTTATTATAATTCCTTGTAGACTTTCAGGTAATTGTTTGTATTATTACAACTGAATGAAGACTTGATTTGTCTCTTAGTTTTTTGCGATTGTTCAATATTTATAATGTCTGAGTAATTTTGAAGATGGGCAGGCAATCTCGGGTGACCTGCCCGACTACCTTGTTGGGTGTTATATTATTTCCCACGCTGTGGGCATTGCCCTGACACATGTCCTATTCACAAGGATACATGGCTGGAAGCACTACCTCATCACATTTCATCATTTTAGACCGCCTCCGTGGTCTAGTGGTAGAGCGGAAGGTCCGGGGTTCGATCCCCGGCCGCGTCATACCAAAAGACGTTAAAAGATGGTACTTGTTGTTACCCTGTCTGGCGCTCAGCATTAAGGGGCTAAAACAAGGACTGGTCGGCTCGGAGTCGGTATACTGTGTCTGAGTGGGGTATTCATGTTAAACTGCGGCATGGTATCTCAGTAGGCTAGCACTTTAAATCGGCATCAGTCCGGACTAGTACAAGCAGCCACACAAACACACACACGTACATGCACGTCACTATATAAGTGCAATAATCTTGGACACGACGTTAAACCCAATTTCATCTCCCCTCATCATTTGAGGGTCAGCCGGATCTGAACAGGCTGTGAACTAACTTTTTTAAGAAGTCAGCCTTATGAGAATATGTTTTTCTGCGCTAGGCACGATTCCAGACTAGCGAGTACGAAAAGGCTCGAGGCAACTACGAGGAAGTGTTGAAGGTGGAACCCGATAATAAGGCAGCCAGGAATCAAATAGCTCAGTGCAACCAGAAAATAAAACAGTTCAACGATAAGCAGAAGAAGATCTATGCAGGAATGTTTACAAAGTTTGCAGAGCGAGATGCGAAGAACGTTCCAAAGGTAAGCAGTGTGTGATATGTGGTTATGTATTGAAAACAGGTTGTAGTTAGTTTCACAACTTTGGATGTTGATACTTATTACTGTTACCCAAACTTTTTTTAAACACTGATGTCATGAATAACATTGATGCAATGGGTTTAGTTATAAACTGATTTCTTGCAAATTGATTACATAACTCTGATTTTACTAGCCATTCGATGCATTTATGCCAATCAGTATTTTCATTATGTGATGGAAATGAATAAAAAACATGGAATTGAATGCTAATTATACTTGATAAATATATATGTTGCAAAGATGGTTGGAGCTTGTTTGTTTGTTGTTTAATGCCGCACTCAGCAATATTCCAGCTGTATGATGGCGGTCTCTAAGGAATCGAGTCTGGACCCAACAATCCAGTGATTGATAACATGAGCATCGATCCACGCAATTGGGATATGATGACATGCATCGAGCAAGTCAGCGAGCCTGACCACCCGATACCTTTAGTTGCCTCTTAAGGCAAGCATAGTCACCTTTTACGGCAAGCGTGGGTTGCTGAAGACCTATTCTACCCCGGATCTTCACGGGTCTGAGCTTGTTGCCACATGCACTTAAACATGGGATTTATTACGTTAGTTTGTTATTCACTTGTACACCATTTTGGGTGTCCTGGCTATTCATAATACTCATGGTCCAATGTGAGTTAGTGAGTTGGATTTAACGCCTTTTAACAGTATTCCAGTGATATCACGGCGTGTCAGCTTAATGTGGGAGGAAAGCCCGAAGTGATGCAGGTCTCGAACGTTTACCACTTCAGTGAAACCCATGAGCATGGGTATGGTGCTGACAAACCTAGAAGTAGAAACATAATCGGGGCGAACCGGGATTCGAACCCACAATTTTTGGTTTCTGGCGTGTCCAAGGGATGCAACTCTGCACAGCGAATCGCGACGCCTTAGACGACTGAAATAACTCTGATTGAACATGATTGACCTGATAACTGATGTTAGCCAGGTACGCAAAGATTGCAATGATGTGGCAATGTCGATACCCCACGTTACGTGTGAGTGTTGATTGTCTGCTGATTGTAATTGGCACTTCCCTGGAAGTGTACTGTAGTAATGGAATTATTACAAGTATGTTGGACCGCCTCCATGGTCTAGTCGGTAGAGTTTCTGCCCAGAGAGTGGATGGTCCAGTGTTCTATCCCCGTCTGCGGCATACCAAAAGATATTAAAAGATGGTACTTGTTGTTACCCTGTCTGGCTCTCAGCATTAAGGGGCTAAAACAAGGACTGGTCGGCTCCGAGTGAGTATACTGTGTCTGAGTGGGGTATTCATGTTAAACTGCGGCATGGTATCTCAGTGAGCTAGCACTATAAAATTGGCCTCAGTACAAGCAGCCAGACACACACATTTGCATGCACATCGCTATATAAGTGCAGTTATCTTGGACGGTTAACCTTACCTCACCTCACCTCACCTCACCTTGATACAATCATGAGGCCACTCAGCGTGACATTTCTGACTTATACTTTGAGTACTACGTCTGATCCTGACCATTTATTATTATTTATTTACTTTTGTATGACTGCCCTTAATTGTACAAAATAATATAATAATTAATTCAACATATCTATATTTATAATATATTTTTAAAATTTTGAAAATTAGGAAATCAATCTCAAATCAAACCCGAGAAGATTTTGTTGTTGTTTGTGTTTGCCTCCTGGGGTAATCATGGTAATGGCTGAGGAACTTTGTAAAACAAGAAACTACATTAGCCTGGCCCTATGGTCAGTCAACAGATGCATGTACGTCATTGTCTTGAAATAATCAGTGTCTGTGTTATTTTGGTTCTGTTTGCCTTTTTTTCATATAAACCCTGGTGCAGTACAAGGTAAAATTCATAACGTATCTCATAACGTATCTCATAAAAAAACAAAAACAGTTTTAGTTTTCGCAAAGTCAATTCTCTCACATTAATTTATCTTTTTGCAAAGGAAAGACCCAAGATGCTTCTAAATTTAAGACTTGGCATTTCACATCTTAAGCTCTCTTGCCAAGAAAACTATTGACAAAATTTGATAATTCCAAAATTGGTTAATTGTGCCAAAGCAAGTTTTTAAGTCTCTTCCTGTTTGCTTATAGGTAATAAATAATGACGATCTGGTAGTGGATGAATGGACGAATGATATGGCTCGGGGAATGATGCCCCTCGAACAGGAAATGGAAGCCTTTGGCGAGAAAATGCCAGACAAAGATGCGTCAAATGCAAACGGAACAGAAGACATGTGACACATTGAACAATAGCCACACTGACTCTGCAGGGTACGATATAGAAGCATAATGTACATGATGTATTGACATACAATTTTGGCACGCAATTTTGCACAAATTTTTGGCGTTATATTTTCTTGGCAAGAGTAGAAGCCATACATTTTTTTCTGCCAAGAGGTACAAAAATGATATATGGCATCTTGTCTGTGTTGATTTGAGGTTAATTTCTTTAGATAAATCTGTTAGTTAAACCAAAATAGATTGTGTTTTAAAAAAACATTTTTTCAACATTCTGAATGTTTCAGATTTTTTTACTTTGGGATAATAAGAGTTATCCTCTAAACAAGTTGTTGCCAAATCATACACGACACCACATACCCTGTGTGTTAAGTAGGACTGGGATTTAAATCTTCCTGTATGACAGTCATACACTTTGATGTGTTGAAGCTTTTCCGTAGAACCAGTACTCAGGCGCCTGACCATGCTTGCCGTAAAAGGCAACTATGCTTGTCGTAAGAAGCAACTAACAGGATCGGATGGTCAGACTCGCTGACTTGGTTGATGCATGTCAACATATCCCAATTGCGTGGATCGATGCTCATGACATCGATCACTGGATTGTCTCATCCAGACTAGATCATTTACCAACCGCCGTCATATAGCTTGAATATTGCTGAAGCAACAAATGTGCCAAAGTCATTTGATTGTGGGCTTAAATCCAAGATTCGACCTGATCTGTATTCTTGGTTTGCAAGCGCCACAGCTATACTCATAGGTTTCAATTTTACCATCGTGATAAACGTCTAAGACCTGGCTGTATCTACCAAGGCACTGCAATATGCAGTGCAGAGTTGTGTCCCTTGGCATGCCAGAATTCTTGACCGTGATCTGTGACCTGCATCACGTCAAGCTTTCCTTCCACATCAGTCTGACACGTCCTGGGATGTTTGATGTACTGTTAAAAATGTGTCAAACCCAACAGTGTCATTTTCTTTTGAAGGTGGAAGAGTCGGAGAATGAAGCACCAGAGACCGAAGTGGAGCCAGGTCCAGGGATGGAAAACGGAGGCGACGAATCGTCCGCCACACCAACAGAACCAGCCGAGGTGTAACCTTTGTCCTTGACCCTTTGACCTTTCATTCATTGTTACCTTGATTATGTAGCATTTGTCCATCTCTGAATAAATCAAGAATCTACATTGATACATTTTGTAAACAATTTTATACCTGTCTGTGATTACCACTAAGTGTCTATGAAATTCAAATCATTTTATGGAATTTACATTTTTGTGGTTATGTGAAAATTAGATTGTCATTAACTCGGTGTTTGAAAATGTTGAGATGAAATTAGTGCATTAGCATAAAATGCTGTGAGATTTGTGAGGACCACTGATAATAATATACCTGTCAGTGTCTCTGTGTCAACATTGGGGCAGTGGGGTAGCCTAGTGGTTAAAATGTTCGCTCATCACGCCGAAAACCCAGGTTCGATTCCCCACATGGGTACAATGTGTGAAGCCCATTTTTTGGTGTCCCCGCCGTGATATTGCTAAAAGCGGTGTAAAAAAGTACTCACTCAACTCACTGTGTCAACATCACATGACCTGGTCAGCTGACCTATGGCCTGGTCAGCAGAGTTAGCACCCCTTGTGAAAAATGTAAAGGAATATCTGTAGATTAACTGCAGAGCTATGAGGAATTACAGATTATTTGTCCAAAGTGAAATCTTTAACATAAACTTTAACAAAAGGGCGGTCAGGTAGCCTATTGGTTAAATCGTTCGCTCTTCACGTCAAAGAGCCGGGTTTGAGTCCCGACATGGGTACAATGTGTGAAGCCCATTTCTGGTGACCCCCGCCGTTATATTACTGGAATATTGCTAAAAGCGACATAAAACCCTACTCACTCACTTTAACATAAACTTCTGACTGTTTGACCTTTTGACCCTGGGCCCTGTTCTATGAATTGGTAAAAGTGTTGGTGGTTGTTCAGCTGTGGGAGTTACGATCATGAGAGAGTTAGGATCTTTTTGTGGATTAGGGCCCTTTCTCCGGAGAAGTCCACAAACAGAGATGGCAAGTCATTTATAATCATTTTGATGGGAAATTTGGGGATCAAGAATCTTAAAGGAATACGAATGTGGTTCCTGTGACCAGTTGTTCAGACATGTTGGTACTTTTCATTCATTCTTCATAAGGATGTCTGTATTGTGTTGAGTGTTTCTCATCTTCTACAAGCCCTGTATCACCATCCCACTCAAGACTAAATTATTTTTATTATATCCACTCATTTGCCTGCTAATCATATATGTTCCCTCACTGGATGATACGTAACAAATTTCCTGTTTCTAAGAAGAAAAAAGTATAATATTAGAATAAGGGAGGTAACTCTGCTTCTTGATTTGCTTCGTTCGCGCTCTCCGTCTTAATCAACACTGAACACTGTTACAAGCAATCACTGCGCTTAGAATGTGGCAAGATAGAAATTGTGAACCATTTTGACATATCTAAACCAACTGTCAAATTATCAGTTCCATTTTCAACAAAAGGCAGGGTTTTTTTGTTTTTTTTGTTTTTTGTTGTTGTTGTGTAGTTCCAACTGACTTGAGGCTGAGCATCGATATAAGATACTCAGAAAATAATACGGATGACTTCTCGTGCTTATTTTTTCTCTCCATTCCATCGGCCAAGATCCAAGCTGGACCACTCTCCAGATGTAATCATTATAGGTGAAATATGTGTGTGTTTAATATTACAGGAACTTCAGGTTAGGGTCACCGTCATTTCATGTATATGTTTAGTTTCATCTTTGATGAACATCGACTCATGAAGTTCATATAAAATTCAGTGGGTTTTGTTCGTTGTTAATTTGACCAAATAATTTGTTAACATATTTTTTCAATAGGTCTGTGCTCACTGCAGTGGTAGAGAGCACTGGACATGATTGTTAATATCGTAAACAAATAAACATTGTCTTATTTTATCTGTGTTCTTTGTGAGTTAATCCTGTGGACATTCCATGGTATGTTTTGAGGTGAGCTTTAAGAGAAGGATTAAAGGAGATGATTTCACCTCATACTTTCACTCTTAGGTTTGCCTGGTCCGGACTTAAACATTTCCATGCTACCATGGTGGAGTTGCAGTGGTGCTCACTGCAGTGTTGAACAGTATTCACACTGTTTGATTTACTAGTCATCTAGTTAAGCCAGATTTTTTTTGATTTTTTTTTTTTACGGATTTTGATTTGGTCGATAGGCTGAAAAAATGCATTGAACAGAATTTTAGAATCATCTGAAAGTTTTGATTTGGATCTGTAAGGTGCTAAATATGAATTTATGACAATTTTTGTTGTAAAAGATATTTTATTTATAAAAATCCCTTGTATTATTTTTATTTTCAAAGCGATCTTGGTCGGTGGCATGGAAATGACTTGTCATTCTGATTTGATATGCTAATATTTTTTCTGAAGTTTCGGTGTTCAAGGTCGTTGGATCCATAAAACCAAGCGAAAAAACAATGTAAAGCCTGATGATAATGGGGTGTAATATAGGATGTTCTAGGGATGCTGCTGTTTTTATTTATTTACTAATTGTGTAATGGTTGGTCTAGGTTTGGATTGATGGCGAAATGCATCTTGCATATCCGGTTTTACTTCCTCTGAGACCTGTGAAGATCTTGGATAGAATAGGTCTTCAGCAACCCATGCTTGCCGTAAAAGGCGACTATGCTTGTCGTAAGAGGCGACCAACTGGATCGGGTGGTCAGGCTCGCTGACTTGGATGATGCATGTCATTTATCCCAATTGCGTGGATGGATGCTCATGATATCAATCACTTGATTGGTCTAGACTCGATTATTTACAGACCGCCGTTATATAGCTGGAATATTGCTGAGTGCGGCAAACAAACAAACTTCCTCTGAATTGAAACAAATTTTGCAGCTGTGGTGTACCTAATGCTGATCACATGATCCTATAGGAATATTAATTTAATCAAACCCAGATGCAGGACGGGCATGTCACCATTGTCTGAAATAAAATACAAATACCAGGACCCACAATCCCGCTGGGTCTCTCTATACCATGTTACCCCGTTTAACGGGGCGGTACCATTTACCTGTGAAGCGTTCAAATTTCCGATTCATGTGTAATAATGTTAATGTACATGGAAGATCCACCCCGGGTGGATTCCGGGGTCGAAGTGGTCCAGCAATGCTTATCGTACTAGGCGACTTTTTGGATCGGGGTCTTCAAGCGAAATGGGGGGCGGTCGGGTAGCCTCGTGGTTAAAGCGTCTGCTCGTCACGCCGAAGACCCGGGTTCGACTCCCGACATGGGTACAATGTGTGATATTGCTGGACTATTGCTAAAAGCGGCGTTAAACCATACTCACTCACTCAAGCGAAAGGGGTGAGAGCGTTTGAAAGTACCTCAGGGACGCGGATTGTTGCTCTTATCATTTAAGACTTTATCGAAAACAAATTATACCCAGGATTTCTTGAAAAAAATAATTATGCTTCAGGCTGTTAAAAAAAAGAGTGCCTGCCATATAAATGACACAGTTGCGAGATGTTTTGTTTGTTTGTTTGTTTTTAAAAATCAGGCCCATAGATTTCAATATCATAATATATTTTTTGTAGCTGTGGATGAAAAAATATCAAATATCAAATGATGGTCGGTCGCTAATAAGCAAAGAGCTACTATTTAGTATAGTTTTAATGGTGTGCTTAAAATAATATTTTCAAATAAATACAAAACTCTACTTTTACATCTTCCCCATTGCACATCAACGTTCCCATGCACGCACACGTTCGCACTCATCTTTGACTACAAACGTCGTTCAGACTGGTTTGCCCAGATTGGATTCTGTGCAGGCCGCCATGGAGCTGGATTATTGCTGTGTGCGGCATTAAACATCAAACAAACATTACACTTAACTTCATTCAGCTTATGTTGTGGCTATGATTTCAGTAATTAGGAGCCAACAAATGCTGATCTGACGCAAAATATTAGTTATATTCAAGAATAGATCTTTCTAAAAGGTACCGAAGGCACATTCAAGCTGTGCTGCACTAGCCTTGCCTAGACGGCTACAATTAGTTCAACAGCATCTTTGAAGTATTCGTTCGCCAAATCCATGGCTAGTTTCTTGTCGGCGTTTAAGGCACGTCGGTTTACACCACCCTTTAGCAACATCTCGACAACTTCAAAATGGTGGACGCCATCAACCCGGGTATACTGCGGGAACCCTGACGTGAGCGGCAACTTTACAGCGTCTATCAACTCCAGGACTTCCTCTTTATAAAGCGCCGGAAGTCGGACGTTGTTTTTGAGGTAGACGATGCCTTTCGAGGCAGCAATGTGCAAAGGGGTGTTTCCGAACTTGTCAATAAGTCGTATGTCCTCAGATATTTTGAGAATGCTTTCGACAGCCTTTAGGTGTCCACTTCCGGCAGCAAGATGGATGCAAGGAATTCCACTCGGCCCAACAATTGAAGAATTCGCACCATAGTAGAGAAGAATTATCACAGTTTCGAAATGGCCCATATTTGCGGCTTCTTGAACGGCCGTATTTCCAGCAGCGTTGAGAGCATTTATATTACACTTCGTCGTTAATAACACTCTAACGACATTGTCAGAACCGTTCATGGCAGCTGCATGAAGTGCACTTTGACCTCCTCCATCCAACATGGCGGGGTCAGCGCCATGGTCCAACAGAACATTCACTGCGTTCACATTACCGGTCTGAGCAGCCAGGGTCAAGGGGATTTTGTCCGCTAGCGGTGCATTCACATCACATCCCTCACTAAGGAGTATCTTCAACCGATCTATTTTATTATCCAAAACACAGATATGAATATCACAGGATTTATGGGGATGCTGACGCCTGTAATCACAATCCAACGCCAAATATTGTTTCACCTGCCAGCCGACGGGTAACGTCTCAATCTTTTCAAAAACATGCTGCCCAAGACACCTCCTAATTCGGCGCCTGCAGTGACCTTGTAAGGAGGAAGGCTGGTTTACGTTAAAGTCCTGAAGCTGATCAAAGTCTTCCTGAAAAACTGGTAGGTTCTCCAACATCGTCTCGATCACTTCGAATACATTCCTGCCGCTTAGATCCGTAGCTGGGATCAAGGCGTGCAACAACTTCGCCCTGTGTTTCTGCACAAGTTCATTTTCAGGTCGGGTTTTCAAGACCATGGTAAGCGGAAGTATGACCTTTCCACTTTGTTTGTCCTTGAACTTGGAGTTGGCGTCTGCGCCGTACAGAAGCAGGAACAAGGCCATCTCGTACTGAGGTCTGCAGGGTTGGATTGCAAGATGAAGTGGTGTCATCCCGTCCTTGTCCTTCACTTCAAGGTCACAGCCGTGTTCTGCCAACAAGCATGCGCCGTAGAGTTCGGTGCGGTCGACGGCGACGTGCAATGCCGTCATCATGTGTATGTTCACCATGTTGACGTCACAGCCGTGTGACAGCATCATCTTCAACAAACCAATCATCTCCGTCATCCTCCGTCTTCTCACTTCTAGTTGGTATTTAGACGGAATTGCCGCCATTAAGGGTGTGAACTGAGGGCGGCTGTTGCCTTCATATGTTTGCAGATTTTTATCAGCTCCATTTTCAAGAAGGACTTTTGAAACTTTGACGCTCACGTTAGCACAAGCACGATATAGAGGCGTTTCCCCACTCGAGTCTTGTTGGTTGATATCGGCTCCCCTGTCGATCAGAAGTTGTGCCATCTGGTGGCGGTCATACCATGCCGTAGCACCAAGGGGAGTAACTCCTCTAATATCAGCAAGGTTTATGTCCGTTCCTTTGTTAAGCAAGGCCACGGCGATTTCATATTTGCCATCTTTTGCGGCACAGAACAGTGGCGTTCGTTCAAATTTATTCCCAGCGTTGGGGTTGAAGGTGCGAGACCCCATGATACGAACTGCTATGTTGAACCGCTCAGATTCCAGCGCTTTGGTGAAGGCCGTTTCCCGGATGTAGGTGGCGTTGATGTCAGCGCCTCTTTCAACCAATCGGATGACAGTATCCAGCTCGCCATTTTGGATGGCTTCGTGAAGGCTTGATATGAGCGACATGTTTGTCCTCTTCCACTAATTTAGGTGGACTTGACCAGTCAAGCCTGAAATGTGAAACAGACTACGTGAATATGTGAATATTCATAATGATAATATATAAAATATACAGACCGCCGTCATATGGCTGGAACGTTGCTGAGTGCGGCGTTAAACAACAAACAAACAAAACATTAAATGTATTAAGAAAGCAGTCAATCGACAATTATCAATGAATCTACTTGTACATAGCATGATCATGTTGAATTATCTACTCCCAGTGATTAGTAGAACAAGCGTTATCAATTTGCTTTTCGGATTGAACTTGTACAAATACATTTAATATATATGTGATCATATATCAAATATCTACCACATACGTAACCGTCTGTAATTTGAACAAAGCACACAGTGGTTCCTCCGGGGGAAACCTCTATATTTTCAGTACTCAGTAATTGTACTGCCGACAGACTGGAGTCTGAGAAGTTACACAGCGTGAAAAGCTCGGTTTTCGTTTTCTAGGAACCTACCAATTTCGGAAGGTTTCGGGGGGGATGTAAAATATTTGGTACTTCATTTTGTTCAATAAAGTGTGAAACACATAAAAAAACAATATCAAGAAAACTGAAGATATGCTAAGTTTTCCGGAAAACGGAAAAACACCTTTCATGCTGTGAATGTGTGACTGGAGTGAATATATGACATGTTTCCGTAAAAGGCGACTATGCTTGTCGGAAGAGGCGACTAACGGGATTGGGTGGACAGGCTCGCTGACTTGGTTAATGCACGTCATCATATCCCAATTGCATGGATCGATGCTCATGATGCCAATCACTGGATTGTCTGGTCTAGACTCGATTACTTACAGACCGCCGTCATATAGTTGGAATGTTGCTGAGTGCGGCGTTAAACAACAAACAAACAAATACATCCAGCCTTGGTTGTTGCTGATGCCATCCACATGCATTAGTGACCCTGTCTCGAATGTGCTTCGTCTTAAATCGGTAGATGTTAGATATAAGACCGCGGTTCAAGTCCACGATCTCTGAGTGTGCTCTCACTTTGATTAACAGCAGGCTATAGTTCGGGGCCATTCGGCTTAATCCCCTACCTAAAAGGCGCATGGAGGCTCAATTGTCTCGGGCACTGGCAATTTGCTGTACAGAGTTGTCTCATATAGCCATGCCAGGATCCGATAATCTGCATCTCGGGTTGGCCCTTTTATACGTATACATGATCATTGGTTTCATAAGCTAAAATAGTTCCTCAAAAAACTCAATGTCGCGTAAACTTCAAATTAAAATAATATTTAAGAATTGACTCACTTTGTGTGAGTTCATTGGAGTATGACCGCCGTGATATTGCTGGAATATTGCTAAAAGCGGCGTAAAACCATACTCACTCACTCATTGGAGTATGGACCTTCAGAGAGTGAGGGCCTAATGAATTTCGGAGCCTGCGTGTTCATCACGGGTCGCAGTACGCTGGATGCCATGAATTGTTTATCTGGTTCGCGGATGCTAAAATTCAATTATGGAATTTATATATATTTTTTTTTTTTGCTTGGCAAGAATGACACATCAATAAACTATTGCTAGTCCTAAGCTAATGAGTACGTATGTTCATGTGTATATGTGAAAAGCCCAGTCTAGTGTACTTGTACAAGCTGTGTCCACTGCTATGACTCATGGGTTCATAAATTGGATGCCGAGACAAATTAACTAGTATGCAGGATTGACGCTCATGATATCAATCACTGTTTTTTCTGGTTCAAATGGAATATCTACAGATCACCGTCAAGCAGCTGCCATATATATGAGAGCGGCGTTACCCACCCCCCCCCCCCCCCCCCCCCCCCCCCTCTCCAACAAAAAAACAAAAACAACAACAACAACAAAACAAACAAAACAAAACAACAACAACAAACAAAAAAAGCAAGAAAAAAAAGCAGCAAAGCAAAAAAAAAAAAACAAAAAAACAAAACATATCGAACCCTACCCACACCCATGGCATTGCGGTGGCTTCGGCAGACCACTAACCTATACGATTTTTGTCCGAACCTACCCTGGACCCACTTGCACAAAGCGATCTTAGCGCTAAGATGATCGTAACTCCCATACTTTAACATAGGCTTACAATAGTTGTAGTGCTAAGATCGCTTTGTGCAAGTGGGTCCTGGACATGGTACGTGTTGATCTGGGGCGGTCGGGTAGCCTAGTGGTTAAAGCGTTTGCTCTTCACGCCGAAGACACGGGTTCGATTCCCCACGTGGGTACAATGTGTGAAGCCCATTTCTGGTGTCCCCCGCCGTGAGGTTGCTGGAATATTGCTAAAAGCGGCGTAAAACATTACTCACCCACTCTCATCTTGGATGATGACAAGTTTGAACCGGCATTTCGGCATCAGGCCATACTCACACGAGATGTGAACTCATCCCAGTCTGGTCGGTAAGACTGTGTGACTCAGTATCAGTGGATCAGCCGATATAATATCCTCTACAGCAACCCTTGTAATTGTAATGTGGACAACGCCAGTTGATATCAGCTTCCGGTATTTCAGTCATGTTTGTATTAGCGTGTCCCGCATAACTCACTCGCCTCCAGTTACTGCTGCCATCAGTAAGAGGAGCTTGTAAACCGAGGCGCCAGATAATCTGGTTCCCTGTTGCTATTCCGTCCTGTGACTGGGCGCATGTATTAAGCTGGGGACTGTCTTTCCGCAACTGTCAGTGAGTGCCAGTTTAAGTTGCCAGATTGAAGACTGCGAGATTACTTTTGATGTTTCACATGCTGCTCAGGGATACTGAGATACATGTTGTTTTATTTCCATCTGAATGAGTGTCGAATGTGGTGATGGCAAACCAAGAATCAGGTCGAATCCGGGATTTGAACCTACAAACCAGGATCCTGAAGCAATGGAGGTCCGGAAGGCACAGTAGGATTATTGACAACAATGACCTCATGCCCTCTTAGCCTTCAAGTTCGACAGAAAAGACATTAGGTACGAAGATTTGACACTGGACAAGTTTGCGCAAGGCTACATTGAGGTAATCACCCAGATACTGACGGATCTCCGTAAAAACAATACCGCATAGATCACACGCAAAGGTTAATGTACCATGCCTGCTCGTTCCGAAATAGGAGGTAATCACCCAGATGCTGACGGCTCTCCGTAAAAACAATACCGCATAGATCACACGCAAAGGTTAATGTACCATGCCTGCTCGTTCCAAATGAAATGTGTCCCAGATTACCACGATGCTGTGTTGGTGGAGATCGAGCGGGGTCGGCGCCGTTGGGGACACTCGACCTGGACACTTCCTCCACTTGTTTGCCGCCTTCAGAAGGGAATGAGGAAAGGAAGCAACAGTGGGTTTGGTCCAAGTTTCAAAGCGGACAGTGTGAAGACGGTCGAAAAAAGGACTTTGCGATGGTGGGAAACGCAAAAGATGGGTCAAAGATGGCGTGTGTGTGTGTGTGTGGCTGCTTGTACTAGTCCGGACTGATGCCGATTTGTAGTGCAAGCGACTGAGATACCATGCCGCAGTTTAACATGAATACCCCACTCAGACACAGTGTACCGACTCCGAGCCGACAAGTCCTTGTTTTAGCCCCTTAATGCCGAGCGCCAGACAGGGTAACAACAAGTACCATCTTTTAACGTCTTTCGGTATGACGCGGCCGGGGATCGAATCCCGGACCTTCCGCTCTCCGGGCGGACGCTCTACCACTAGACCACGGAGGCGGTCCCTCCACATGGAGGTAAGTGACTACTTGCCTCGCCAGTTCCCAAATGCGCCTTGCCTCGACCCTGTTGCCTGATTCGCCTTGTCAGGAGTCAGTCTCGTCTGTATCGCCACATTGCATGGAGAACGGTCTTACGCCACGCCCACCGTCTTGCAATACCTTGCCTGCTTGCAGTGTCAGCATTACTCCATATAGGAAACAGAGCTTCATCCAACCGATTCTCAACAACCATAGGATAGTGCTGCAGTCCCGACCCAATAAATATGTGGATGTCCACATACCGGTGTCTTCTACATGGAACATCACTTTTCTGCGTGAACATCTACAAGCATATTGGGACAGAGACATTGTCGAATTACTGTACGTCACCCCAAGCTCCAGCGCTCGAACACACCAAGAGGCCCTCACCTACCTCACCTTACGACAAGCATAGTCGCCTTTTACGGCAAACATGGGTTGCTGAAGACCTATTCTACCCCGGATCTTCACGGCAAGCATGGGTTGCTGAAGACCTGTTCTACCCCGGAATCTTCACGGCAAGCATGGGTTGCTGAAGACCTATTCTACCTCGGATCTTCACAGGTCTGGTAGCACTTGGTGCCACTTTCGTGCTACTTTCGAACCCAACCCTCTAATGAATGAACTTGTTCTCTCCCCCCTTAATACAGTGGACAAGGATTATAGAAAGAAACGGGGGGGGGGGGGGGGGGGGGTGGGGGGTGGGGGGGGGGTGTGGTCTTAGTTGGCCCCCAGGGTCCTCAGTGAACGATGGAATCGACAAGTACCTAGACAGAGATATTTGCTTGGCCTACCCTACAGTTGACTCACTTTTGGACATTCACTATCAAACATAATAATATTCCCCTTCTGATCTTGCCTTATATAACCAGCTTTGCCTTCCTTTTTAACCTAGGTATTTCAAACTTCCATGGACCGCCTCCGTGGTCTAGTGGTAGAGCGTCCGCCGGAGAGCGGAAGAGCGGAAGGTCCGGGGTTCGATCCCCGGCCGCGTCATACCAAAACACGTTAAAAGATGGTACTTGTTGCTACCCTGTCTGGCGCTCGGCATTAAAGGGCTAAAACAAGGACTGGTCGGCTCGGAGTCAGTATACTTTGTCTGAGTGGGGTATCCATGTTTAACTGCGGCATGATATCACAGTGTGCTAGCACTATAAATCGGCATCAGTCCGGACTAGTACAAGCAGCCACACACACACATGCACGTCGCTATATAAGCGCAATAATCTTGGACGCGACGTTAAACCCAATTTCACCTCACCTCACCTCAAACTTCCATGTATATTCTAACTTATGTACTGTTGTAACCTTGCCTGGTAACACCACTTTAAATCTGCCAAATAAATTTTCATTATTTTACCCACCCTGTGTTGTGTGTTTTAATATGTGAGGAAAGCCCGAAGTGTCACAAGTGACAGGTGTTTACCGTTTGGTCGTTTTAAAAATGAAATTTTCCCACTTTTAAAGGCCGAGGGAGTCGAAGACCAAGTAGCAAAAATTTAACACCTTCCAATTTAACGTCAGCATCATTTCAGCCATAGAGCGACAGCCTGCCATCACGAACATATGTTATCTCAAATATACAACGCCGTACCGAGTCCTGGTGTCATGACGTCCATCTGTTCACGAACACGATCCGACAGATACAATTTATATGCGATCGATGTTTTATGGATATCTAATATTCCTAGTTAATGAATCACAACGTCTGCCGCTGGACCACCTGTTAATGAGGAATGTATATATTATATACTTATCATATACATCACAGAAAAGAGCGAGGGGCGGTGGGGTAGCCTAATGGTTAAAGCGTTAGCTCGTCACGCCGAAGACCCGGGTTCGATTCCCCACATGTGTGAAGCCCATTTTCAGGAGTCCCCAGTCGGGATATTGATGCGAATGCATGTTTTAAAGTATGAATGTATTGTTCTATTATGGCTTACATACAAACTTTCTTATGTTCCCATACACCACACATCATTTAACAAAGGCATCCCTTGAATACACGCTGGGTCAATCGACGCATCAAGAAATTATAGAAGATTACCTCTGTTTCCTTAAGGGGCGGGGGAGATAGCCTAGTGGTTGAACCGTTTACTCGTTACGCGGCCCGTGTTTGTTTCCGATGTCCCCTGCCACTACTACTTGAGTGAGTGAGTGAGTTGATTTACGTCGCAGTCGGCAATATTACAGCTATAACATTACGCCACGTATATAAATGGGGGACAGGCAAACCAATTGTTGACTTGAGCAACGCCGTCGGGGTAGGATAACGCGGAACCAGTCAGGTCACCGTGCTGGGGTGCTACTCGAACCCCGACCCCACGGGGAAGGTAGATATGACACAAGACACCCGATCTTCCGATTCTTTCAACAAGAAGGCATACGAGTTGAGAAAATGTTAGATTTTGATTATGACAGGCTATTGCAAGCAGTGAGTGAGTATTGTTTTACGCTGCTTGTAGCAATATTCCAGTAACATCACGGCGGAAGACACCAGAAATGGGCTTCACACACGTTGTACCCAAGTTGGGAGTCAAACCCGGTCCTACAGCATGATGGAGAATGCCTTTACCACTTACTTATCCCGTCGTCCAGGTAACGCAAGCAAGTTATACAGAGGCACTAGTGAGTTACACAGAAACACTAATGAATTATACAGATGTCAGGGAGTTATACAGAGGCACTAGTGAGTTATAACCCACGCGACTTAAATACGTGTTATTAACCAAAGATGTATTCCCTTCCCGTGTCAAGCAACCAACTTTCAATCATAATCAGGGTGTTATGTTTCCATGCAGAATCAACAGCTGGCAGCATAAACATTTAGCGACTGGTATAAATTATATACTTTTCCATCGTAACGCGACACGGCTGACAACCATGCACTGCGTCATATGACTTGTGGAGACCGGACCGCATACACCACAACTATGGATTACTGTAGGGGACTAGTTGTCCAGTTGCATTTTTGATTGACTGGTCTCCTGTCTACATGCACGCGCGAACCAACAGTGGAACCAGTTTTACATGCGCAAAGATTTCTGCGCGAACCTACAATGGAACCAGACAGGACACTGTCAAGACACATTAAGTAAAATAATTATCATGATATAATGTTATGATATTTTACATACTTAACCAGTAGAAGTGATGATATTATGGAACTCCACACATCGTTAAGCCTGTTTTTGGCCTGTTAGTGTCATAAGGTTGTGACATGGTTTGGTGTATACACATACTAATGGCATATGGCGTGCGTCGACTGACACTTTAAAGCCAAATACCGCTCTCACGTGAAAGTTTGTACATTAGTGATATGTTTAATGCATCATGCACGTGTTTCTGCCCGTGATCTGTTAACGTATAGTTATGTTAGATTTAGTATAAGTTTATTTTCCAACGATATCTGCCTCACTACTAAACACAGAACCTGACGTCATTTTTTTACATACAGACACGAAAAAACCGTTATCTGTGTACCTTCTTGTTTGTTTTGTTTTGTTTGTTTGTTTGTTTGTTGGTTTGTTGTTTGGCGCCGCACTCAGCAATATTCCAGCTTTATGACGGCGGTCTGTAAATAATCGAGTCTGGACCAGACAATCTAGTGATTGATATCATGAGCATCTATCCACGCAATTGGGATACGATGACATGCATCAACCAAGTCAGCGAGTCTGACCACTCGATCCCATTAGTTGCCTCTTACGACATGTAGTTTTAC